CAGGACCAAGAGTAAGACTTTCATGGACTTTTGCCATTATCAAAACCGAATTCATAATATTAACGGCATAACATTTAATTTAATTCAAAAGCAATTCCTGGGTTCCAGTCAATTTTATTGTTCACCATTAAAAATGTCACAAAAACGTTTCGGTGTTTTTCTCCACCATCATCAGTTTGTATGTATGGTTGTTTCTACCTTCACATTTAGCAAGCTACTGCCATAACATTTAATGGCTAACCAATGAATGTAAAGTTAAAAATATTGTGAAGTCGTATAAAGTTACACATTTTTCAAATTGTTAGGACCTCGGGCGAATATATAAATGATGCCCAAATCTACGTGAGCTGAATGTGAGACGAAAAATTAGTTGAGGTCAATTCTTTAGTGCATCAAATATAATGAACAAATGCATGCAAACCTGGTCCAAAAGATGACAATACCGCTGAGTTCTAAAGCAAAAATGCCGCTTTTAGTCACTGCCCAAGATATGCAAATATGTCTTTGTATGCTTATTGGAACACACACACACACACACCTTTACACTTAGTGTCATTTGCTGTGTTATTACTTATGATGGTCTCGGTTATGTTCAAAGACAGTCGATCTGCATAAAGTTGCGGCTTTTCAGAACGCCTGTTGCTAATTGGGCACGACTACGAATGCGGCATTGACTACAAAAATGCAGTTCTGGGCTTGTTTCAAAATTGTGTTGAGGTTTCTCTAGGAAGTTGCAGTGAAATTCTATAGATGAGTGTTATACATAAGACTGTCGAGTTGTTTATTCGCATCTTGCCAACAAAAGTTAGCATCGGAAATCTACCGTAGAAGCGGTGTTGGTTTATAGTCAATGGTAAAATACGCCAAAGAGTAAAATAAATAATTTAAACTTCAGCGTAGTTGATTTTTGGAAAAAAAGCTCCTAAATTTTTAATTTTAGATGAGGTTTTCTATGCTAAGTTTGTTTACCCGGGGTGATCCAGAAAGAAATTACGACCATCAACTTCATTTATTCAAATTGAAGCATTGGGATTTTGGAATTTAATTTTTAAATGGAAGCAGACATTGATGCGGTGGTCACCAAGTCAAGAAGCCGAAAAAAGCCGAAACTTTCCTCCAGCATTTCCAGAATGGCATTCGGATCGGTTTGTCAAAAGGCGGACGCGCATCTGATCCCGCAGGATCATTTTGAGGAGGCAGATCACGTAGCGCACACCCTGTGGACTGTGAATTTCCAACGCAAACGTCCGAGCAATATTTCATTTCCGATTTTTCACTGTATTATCCCGCCCGACGGCGCCCAAAACGGGGGCGTAATGGCTTGCCGACATCTGATAGCCTCTGCGACCGCTAAAACGAGCCCATAACCATCGGGAAAAGATGGTAATTTCCCCATATCCACCACAGGTTTGTTCTTTTACGTGCCCCAACAATCTCAGTATCGAAAAACTCAGCAAGACTGTGTTTGAAATAATAACTCAATCTGCTAATCGACAGAATCACCGTTCGAAAAATGTACTTTGCTAAACAGAAGCAGTGAATGCTCTGTCCAGAGTTGCAGAATTGTTCTATCTAAATCTCTGCAAATTAAGTTCCAGCTGCAGTTGCAGCCGAACGTCGGCAAGGCAACTTTGGGCATTTTCCCAGAAAATGTGTTGTCTAACATCAACCTGATCAACAATGAAAAGTAATTTTGTGCGGTAAATTTTGGAGAAACTTAGGTAATAAAATTCTGCAGTCAATTGAAACATGATTTCTTCTCAACTGGTTACAGTGAAGAACGTATAGTTGAAGAATCAATAAAATAATCTCCTTTTTCTTAGGTGTTACTTGCACGTATAAAGCAACATGTATGGTGTGAAACTCATCATTTGTAGATCAAGATCGTTCATAAACTCATAATTACGCGATCCAGTTTTGTTTTTTTTAAACCAGAATTCCATAGGGAGTGAAACCATTTCAGAGCAAGACGCGTGGTTTAGAAGTCCTTTTCAATTTTTCTTTAAAGCAAAGTCCAATATTTTAACACCCTCTGGAGCGTCCAAAGGAGGTTTTAAAGGCGATCCGTCATATGTTCGGAGAGATTAGGTCCCTAATGCGAGCGATAAGAGCGAAATGACCGCGATATTCAAATTTTTAAGCCTGCGTTCCTTTTGTGGCCTGTCCAAAGCCATATCTTGTATTCAAAGGGGCACTCCCACACCCTTATTAAAGTCCAAAGAAGTCTAAAGATTTAAGGCCCGCCCGAAATGTATTTTTTAGCGCGGGGATTCATGGGGGTCAAAAACATTCGGGGAATTTTAAAGCAAAAATTTCCGTAATCGATTTCGTACGGCTAGAACATTATCGGGCTGTCATCTGGTGCAATTGTCGTCTCTTTTGTTTTTGGCCTCCTGCCGAGACACATGTCGTAATTCGGTGATGACCATCGAAGTTATTATCATCATCATCCCCCATGGGGATTAAAGAACTTTAAATTTTTTGCACGCCTGACCGGCTCTATTGGAGAACGGTTTCAAAGGGTGACATGTGGCGTAGGGTTAAGCTGGACAATGCTGCTCGATTATGCAACGTTGGGTCATATGTTTGCCTGTTAGCTGGGCGCATAATTCGCTTCGCGTCCATCAATTAATTGCAATTTTTTATTTACCAGCCAGCTCTCCTCGTGCACCTCAAGATGACACCAACATAATTATCCGCCGACCGTCACCTTCCAGTTTTATGCCCTTGGAAAGGGTTGGCCGAGAAGCCCTTCGCTTAATTATTCAAATCATCTTGTCTTGTGTCCACACGACTGGCGTAGCGTCGACGAAAAAAGATAATTTTTGAATGAACAGATGAGACACATTGAAAACCGGTGCAGCGTGTGCTTGTAACAATGGTAATGCCCGACTAGAATACCTTTTGCGATGATGGTATTAATCAGATGGGCTCAAGCACGCGCTGGTCGCTTTTTTGCTCTTCTTCTTGGGAAAGGTTGGAGTTGTTCTTGCACCTCACATGGCTGCATAAATGAATGCCAAATGAATGGGGTAGAATATAATTCTGCTTATCTTCGATTCGTTGTCTTGGTTGATTGGATTAGCTTGAATTTGGGGCTTAAGTGGACGGAAAATTACGGTAAGATACAAAAAAATAATCGTAGGAACTCAGTTGATTGATTAGGATTAAGGCAGTTTATTTAAAAAAATGAAATATTAATGCGTCTGTCAATGGCACAGTACAAATCTGGAGGAAATTGCCTGGTTAAGTTGGACCTAGTTGAGTTTATATAGCAATTTAAATATTTAAGTGAAGAAATATTTTTATACGATGGCCAAACCGACTACCGGAAATATGTCGTAGATTCTTCTCGATCTCTTCAAAGAATCGTATCAATCCCCAGTTCTGAACATTTTCAATCATTTCCTGCTGAGTTGAACGACTTTAATAACAAAAAAATCTGTTTGATTGGTTTGCACTCTTTGCAGTAAAAGACATTTGCCACATTGCATTTAAAAGCAATTCAACATTGTCATTTTTTCATC